GCCGCGTAGCCATGGCCTGCAAAGTAGCCGTGCATGGGCTCATCACGACCACGTGTACCATCGCGCTTGCGATAAGGGATGTACTCCAATATGGCTGGTCGGGGCACATCATCTGCCGGAAGCCACAGCCGGCACGAAAGTCGCGTGGCATCCCTTAGTTCAATAAAGACATTTTCGATGGTTTTGACTTTGTTTGGAAGCGTGGAGACAACAACCTTCTGCATTCTTGCCGATGGATCCCCAATGTGGCCCGCCTGTACACCTCTTTTCCCCTTTGAATCGGCTGCGGATGGAATGTTGTGTCTGTTCAGAAAGACAAATGTAAACGTGTGCTTTCCTCTTTTCCTCCGGGTGTGAGTGAATGTGTGAAACAAACTGCCGCCACCACCCCCCGATGAAGTAAAACAACACAGAGAGAAAAAAAAAAAGGGAAAGGCCACAGCCCCACGACATCCACAAATAAAAAACAGGCATGGAAAGAGAAAGAGAGAGAGAGAGAGAGAAAAAAAAGACGCCTCCAGAAGGAGCAGACGCCTCGGCTCCCTCCCACTGCTGACGCTGCACCGGCAGGGTCGTCTTGTATTGCCCACCAGCATTCGCCACCAATCAATGGCCTTCGTAAATGCCCAAATTCTTCATGATTCGCGAGAGGACAGCCTTTTCTTCAATTACACGGTAGTGGTGCAAGCGTGCGTACAGACTGGCATGCCCCTTCACCGCCTTCCGAAGTTCCATTGTGTAGCGAACTATGTTTCGCATCGGGACGATTGCTTTCACCGACCTCCCATCATCTTGAATGTCCACCGCAATGGCCTTACGCTCGCTCAGAGAGCTCACAACACCACCAATGTAGGCTGCCTCCGAGAGGTGCACCTCCACCTCCATCATTGGCTCCATCGTGGCAAGATTGGCCTTGGAAACGGAGCGAAACAACTCCAATACAAGGGAACGAGCGGCCTGCTGTAGAGGGCCCTCCGACAGCTGCGTGCCACCAAGCTTTTTGAATTCCAGCAAAGCGACCCGCACGCCGTGGAGAGGCAAACCGGCAAGGGGACCCATGTGAGAGCAATCGGTGACTGCGCGAGAAAAAACATCGGTGATTATTCGTAGTTCCTCCTTCACATTACGGTGGTGATCCTCCATGCGGCGACGTCGATCATTACGGGAACCAGCGGCTCCAGCAAGATATTTCTCCGTCAACGTCTCGTCAAGAACAAAGGAACAACATTGACCTGGATCGCAGAAGCCATCTTCCTCAAGTAGTGGCTGGAGTCGCAGCGAACACTCAACGTATGGGAGCTCATTGTACATCCCAATACCATGCAGGAGCTCCACTGCCTCAAGAACTACCTCACGATATTCTACGATGGCACGTAGTAGTCGACACTTTAGTTTATAATCGTGCTCCAAGCGGGACATGACAATTTCAAGATGTAATTCTCCCATGCCACTCAACACCATCTGACCAAAATCATTCTTATGCACACACAAGCTAGGGTCTTCAAAACTCAGCTCCTGAAGAGCAGCCTCCAAGAGGGGAATTTGCTGCTTTGTGGCTGCCTCAACAGAAAATGAAATAACAGGTGGTGGGGGTTGAATGCCCTCCAGTGTGAATATCTCATTCTTGGTGTGATCTGCATCCAGATGAACCTGCTGGGGAGCTCGAAAAAGTGTGGCACCTGTCTTGGTAGATTGCATGAAAGCTGCACCAATCTCCCCCGCAACAAGGTGTGGAACCTCCAGCTGACGATTTGCATGTATCACATACAATTTTTCAAGATTCTCATGTCGATTACAGTTATTGTTCACAAGCGTCATATTGGGTGTTATTTTGCCGCTGTAAACGCGGAAGAACACCAATGGTTGGCGTCTTCCTTTGGGACTTGTGGCGTGCGTCACCTTAAACGCCAGCGCCACCACAGGGACGGACGGTGCACTCGTTGCGGGTGGGAGAGGCACTATTTTTCCGTCACGCGCGTAGCCAGTGAGAGGTCGATCCCGCGGAGACGGCAGGTAGTACGTGATGGCATCCAGCAACGGTTGCACGCCCTTATCACGTCGGGATGCACCACAAAGGAGCGGCACAGCAGGCCTAGGAACACCTTGACGCAGTGTTCGACGGCGAATCGCTGCACGTAGCAGGTCACTTGGAATTAGGTCCTCTGCCCTCTTCTCATCCCCGTCAGTTTGGTCCAATAAGGCAATAACGGCGTCCGACAGTGGATCGTCGAGCTTAGTCAACGTCGAGATGAGCTCGTGACGGGCAATCAAGGCAGCCTGCACAATGTGCACCGGCTCAGAGTCAAGCAAACGTAAATCCTTAACCTCCACATCCAAGCCATGGGTGCCTCCAAAACGACATGCCGTCATCTCAACGATATCTATCACGCCCTCAAAGGCGCCGTCCTCTGATTGAAGTGGAATTTGTAGCAGGAGTGGCTCCACCTCCAGTTTCTCCCGGATAGATTCCACAGACTTTTTAAAGTCGGCGTTGTACTTGTCCATTTTATTCAAGAAGCCAATCACAGGGATGCCAAATTTTCTACTTTGACGCAAAACTGTGTAGCTCTGCGCCTGCACACCAGCGGAGGCGTCAAATAAAGCAACGACACCATCCACCACCCGCATTGCACGCTCCACCTCCACAATAAAGTCCACGTGTCCAGGAGTATCGATGAGGTGAATGCTGTGATTCCGCCAAGAAAACGAGACGGCGGCGGACTGAATTGTGATGCCACGCTCCATCTCCTCCTTCATAAAATCCGTCGTGGTCGTCCCGCTATCCACATCACCGATGCGCTTTAAGGCACCTGCGTAGAAAAGCATGCGTTCTGTTGTGGTCGTCTTGCCGGCGTCAATGTGTGCCACAACCCCAATGTTGCGCATGCGTGCGATAGACGATTCCAGGGCGTCGGCCTTGCTGCCTGAAGACATTGTCACGGCCCGAGCGTTCTTGAGCGGCGCACACTGCGTTATTCGCCGCACCCTCAATGCCGAATTGCATTGCCACAACGGAGTCACCTGCCGCCAATGGCAGCCAACATGTTGTCGAAGCATGTTGGGGTTCTGGTCGTCGAAAGATGGAAGAAGAGATGCGTCGCCTTTGATGTAGAATCCGCAAAAAAAAAAAAAAAAAAAGCAAAAGACACATGCACCCCCTTTATAGCTGCTCCTTTTGTTGTTGTTTGGTGGAATAAACAAGGCTTTACTCCCCCCTCCCCCACAAGAGCTGCAGTGAATAAAAGGTCGACGGCGTCAATGGACAGTGTTGTTACCGGTTGGACTGGGAATTGACGAATCTGGGACCAATATATATATATATCCCGTTTCTGTTACCATTCACCCACGCATTCCTTACTCATCTCCTTTGCAAAAATAAAAATAAAAATATATATATTTGCCGCCTTTTTCCCTCGTCGTGGTCACCGGTGCGCACAATTGGATATTTTTATAAAGCCCATTTTTCTTTGGCCTACGCAGACACGCGCCTCCTCTACAGAAAATAAGTCCATTCCCCCTCAGTTAATTACAAGCGCTCGCCCTGTTCCTCTCGCTCTTACCGGCTTCCCTTTTTTTTCCTTCTTTTGTCTGTATTGTTGGCGGTAGTGGAGAAATGGGGCAGAAGTGAAATCCGTTGCTTCCCACAAACACACACACACACAAATACAGATAAATACAAAAAATTGCATGCATTCCTGTACATCATTTCTCGTTCGCTCATTTTACCCCTTTGTTCCCGGCGTGGGAGGCTTCAATGGCCCGTATCTTCTCAATACGTCGTGCATGGCGCTCCTCGCCGCTAAACGGCGTCTGCAAGAATGTAATGATGATCTCCCGAATGACCTCCACACCAGTCGTCCGCTCTCCCACGCAAACAATGTTCGCATCGTTGTGGATCCGCGAAATCGCTGCGGTGTAGTGGTCATAGCAGAGGGCAGCCCGCACCCCGGGAACTTTGTTGGCTGCGATGGACATGCCGATCCCACTACCGCATGCCAGCACGCCAAATTCTACCTCCTTCCTTGCCACCATTTCCGCCACACGACTGGCAAAGTCCGGGTAGTCGACACTCTCCGCCGTCTTCGGTCCACAGTACACAGGCACAAACTCGTCGCCAGCCTCCTTCACGTACAGAATCAGATTCTCATGAATGGCGAATGCCGGATGATCCGTACCGATTGCGACTCGGCGCGTCATAGTGAATTGTAATCAAGATTGAGTTTGTCTCCTTTTAAAATGGTGGCAAATGTCGCACCCCTGTATGAAAACAAATGGGTATGAAACACACTTCTTATCGCTGTTTGTTATTATTGTTTTTGTTCTTATTGTTGTTCGTGTTCACTTTTGGTTGTTGGTTTTTTCCGTTCATGGTGGCATGGAGAAAAAACAGACAATACGAGGCGCCAAAGCCTCCCTCCCTCCCAAATTCCCCCTCCACAGATATGAACCGCACAACACAGAGAGAAGTGTATATATATATATATATTCAGCACGTGTGTGCAGGAAGAGTAGGGAAGTTATATCACAGAATGGTAATGGAAACGACGAAGGACCTGCAAAAGAATAAAAAAAAAAAAAAACTGGCCTCTAGTTTTACGGTCTGAAGAAATTCACTAGTGGTTATTGTTGTTTTTGTTTGGTGCCCTCGGTCCCGATCCCCAATTCCTCGCCTGTTTCTCCTGCCATTTACAGGGCGGAGTGCCTCCTTTCCCATTGCCCGTGTCTTTTATTTGTTTTTTCTCGGTCTCCCTTCCCAGCCCTCGTCTTTTTCTTCTTCTTGTTGCTGCCGTGGTGTTGTCATCTTTCCCCTTTTTTTTTTTCTTTTTTTTTGGCCCCGTCATCCCCATTCTCATTTACCCCTTTTTTGCTTTTGTTGTTCTTTTCTTTTTTTTTTTCCTCCTTCTTCTCCTTTGCACGTGTGTGTGTTGACCCCTCCCTCGCACGCATCTTCACATTCGTCATTCATCGCCACCACCAGCGGCTTGTCGCCCACGCGCCGCTCATCCCAAAAAGTAGTCAGGGAGCACACGCATTAAGTATAAAACAACACATTTTGTCTCCGCGAATGGAACCTCCGTGCAGTAGTAAATTGTCTCCACATATCGCTGGCAGGCACCGTAGTGACCAATCCACACACACATGAGACGGAACATGTTACGGAAAAAACAACCGCCGTAGCGATAGTAATACTGCTCACTCGCGCTCATAGGAGCGCAGTGGCCATGAAACAAAAAGGCCGAACAACGCGCCGATCCATCGTTTGCCGTGCAGTAGCAAGAACCCTCTCTGGGAAGGCGACTTACACAGCTCCCAACTTGCTTCGCACGACGAATCCACCTCTTGTTGCAGTGATTGGGCGCGTTTCTTTGCTTTTTCCATTTCGCATAACTTACCATCGCCAGTGACTTGAGACTTCTCAGTATTTCGTGGACAGCATCCCCCCCACCCAAGCGAGCGGCACGAACAAAAACCAACACACATGTCGTGACAACGCAGAGTCGTCCGGCGTTCTGAATCCTCTCCGCATTTAGTGGACCCAGCATGCTGTACACAAGTTTGTGTGGCTCCTGTAATAGCGCCCTTTCAAGCCCTGCAAGCGAGCCGAGGCCCCCATCACCCCCATCATCCACAAGTTCGGGAAAAAGCGGCACCAAAAACTGCGGTGGGGGACCAATGGGTGGCAATTCGATATCACCAACAATGAGTGCCCGGTCATAATCATCAAAGAAGCAGGGAAACGGCCGCTCCTCCAGCAGGAGACGATGCGGGGATCGCAAGAGTATCTGGAGCATATCCCACAACGAAAGTTTGGAATCTGCTGAAGAAGACAAGGGAAGAAAAACGGTAGAAGCGTCGCGCTCTGCCGTTTTTGCGTCGGTCCCAGAAGGGCTTTTCTTTGCGGCTGCCCGCCTCTCGCTCAGAATCGCGACGAATCGTCTCGAGTATTTCCTAATGTAATTGAGACGATTTGGATGACCTGTCACGACGTCTCCTATGCGAGCAGGACCGTCCAATGTCTCTTTCACGTCCACCGTAAGTGACGTCACAGGTTTCCAGAGATAATTCACTCTGGAACGCAGACCGGGAGTCAATGAAAGAAGAAGGCTGCGCAAAAACAAGTTTGTGTCACATCCGTGACGGCACATGCGCCGAAGAAGAACCCTCGCAAACGGCTCATTTTCCTCCCTATCTAATGGTGGTAGACGCAACAGCTGTTCGACATGCTCTGAGGTCGCATGGTTTAACTGACCATGCAGGGAAGACGCTGCGGAGGGATTATTAAGATGAAGCAGACCCACTGATCCTGTAACGTAGTCTTGAAGAAGTGTGAGGTTACCGTAGTGGTAGCGGACAAGTTCTCCGAGAAGCGCAAAAAAACTGTCTATACGTTTTGCCGGAGAAAGCGACCCACTAAGGCCTGGTACGTATGTTGCATTGTATACGCGGTGTTCAAAAATGGAGCGCATCAGCACGTCGCCTAACACCGTCTGAGGGGCATCTGCGGCACTCTTTTGACGCACTGGAAAGGAAAAACAGCGTAAGTATCCCTCCAGAGCATGACAGGCAGACGTCTCCACACAACTGTCCTCGTTTTGCCGAGCCAACGTCAAAGCAATTTTGAGCGCAAGTGGTGCCGACTCCTTGGCGGTTTCACCTTCGTGGAGCATGGAGCACTCGCGACGGTCCTGCGCGTTCCAGAACTCCTGCACACCGCGCAGCAGCTCCAACTTTCGAATCGTGTTTGGGTCGTGCTGATGGTTCTTTTCATCAAATCCATCGTCATCGTCGGACACTCCATGGTAGGCGGCGTGGCGAATAAATGCCTCGGTGTCCTCACCCAACTGCGCCGCAAGAAGGAATTGCTCCCACTGATTTTTACTGCTACCATTGCTCTTGTTGTTCCGGCTTGTGTCCTCCTGCTGCACCTCACCTGGTTCACCGTTTTTCACCTCGCCCTCCTCCTCGTCCTCCTCACTCCTTTCTTGTCCTCCTCTTTCCGCACTCACCCTCTCCTCACTGGACTCGGCTGGCTCCAAGAAGCGCGGGAGCTGGCGAAGCTCCAGCGACCGCTGTAACTGCTCCATGTACGGTAAAAAGGAGTGGGGATGTGCGCGTGAATCAAAGGCAGAGTCATAAAATCGGCTTGCGGCATTAATCCAGTGACAATCCCGTAGCTTGCACCAGACGTCCCCAAAGAAGAATGTGGATAGCATAAGGTTTAGTACAAACAGAATCTCACTTTGCGCCCCCACAATGACCTGCGGGCCGTAGGATACACTGGGGTCCTTCAGCACCGGGGCGAGAAACTGCCAAAAGAAGCGACTCTCCTTTCGAAACGCCTCGTATGACTTACTGTCCGTTACCGGCCCAAACCCGCATAGAAGTGGACAATTGTCATCCACTTCCTCACGCAGTGTCAAGTCACGCATTCGCCACCGTTGTTTTGCGTCAGCGCATCCGACAAACCAGCTGAAGTCTACATTTGAGCCAACCGTCGCGATAGAGGCGGCGGAGGTGGTGTCTTCTTCCGGCCACATGCCCATCATGGCACCTAATGCCTGCGGAGGCGGTGTGCCCCCGGCGTCTTCTATGAGCTCTTCCACGCCGTAGCCGCGTCCTCCGACCCAATCGAAACGAGTCGCGGGATCACTGTTGTTGCTGTTGCTAGTGCCACTGCCATTGCTGTTGCGGCCCAAAGCCCGCGAAGCGACCAACCCCAGCTGCCCAAAATCCAAGCCGCCAAAAGGGTTGTTTGCTGGAAAACCACCACCCAATGACGGTAAGGCCGCAATCGCGGTGGTGGACAACTCCTGCATAACCGGCTCGAAAACAATTCCTTCCAGCGAGGTGACAGAACGCTCGGTCTGCATCATGGCACGAAGGTCACCTGCTCCACGCACCTCGCACAACATCACAAGTCGCTTGACGAGGTCCTTCTCTCCAATCAGCCAGAGAACGTTGCTATCAATGACCCGCTGAATACGTTGAAGCGGCAGGAGAGACTCGGGGTAGACAAGACTTTGGTGAGGCGATTCACGCTGATTCAAAACCACACCCGGAACAATAAGTAACGCAATTACACGACACAAAATGGCAAGTGTTGCATCATCACTGGTGCGAATCAGTTCCTGTAACGCCGGTACTTTCGATATCTCCAACACTGGGCCTACGCTCAGAACCAGATGCTCCAGCATGACAACTGCGGTGAGTCGCAGTTCAGCCACCTTTGCTAGTTCCAACAGTCTGAAAAAAAGTCCGGGATAACTATCATAGTAATGCCAACCCAGTTCATTGTGACAGACAAGCAACTCTGTCAGCACACGCATCAATGTCGCAATGGCTCTGACGAGCTGCCACGGGGCATGGCCTTTGGTATCCATAAAACCAAATTGATGCGTGGATGCCTTACTCAGCCGTGCCGGCATGGTCACATCACACAGCAAAGTGGCAAACAAATCAATGCCACCAAGACTCACAAAATATGCTAATAAATGCGGCTTATTGGGATCAAAGTACACGGTGCACTCCTGCAAGCACCGGTGCAGTGCGTTGAGATCTCCCCGCTCCCATGCCGATGAAATCTGCCTTAGGAGGTCAGACTGATCGTAGGAAAGAACGTTCATTTCCCGCAACTGCGCCTTCTCTGTTGTAGTCATCTTCGGGCAATGTGCACAGGGCAGCATGCGACGAATGTGGGGTTGTCCCCGGCCAGAGAGCTGCTCCCGTAACAGGGGAAACAGCGGCATGGCGCTGGCTCCAACCGCGCCACCCCCCAAAAAGAAAGGAAAGAAAAAAAAACAATACGAAAAATAATTTTTTGAAAGAAATATAAAAAATGCTCCCGTGCGGTCCCAGAATTTATCCTTCTGGTGCTATAAGAGTGCAGACATTCACAGCAGCAGAGGGGGGAAAAAAAAAAAAGCAGTGGGGGAAAGCAAGCGTACAAACAGTAACACAACAACAGGCAGACCAACAACAAGAGCAAATAATAATAACAAAGGATGGGATGTGGGACCACACAATCAAGAACAATGACAGCACGCACACACCCAGACACACAGAACAAATGAAAAGGAAAAGCACCGAGGGAAGAAGGGAGGGAAAGAGGGCACACAAAAGTCAAAACATACAGAACTAAAAGAAAAAGGGTGAGATCTAAACGAACCCCCCCCCCCCCCCTTCATCCCCTTCTCACCAACAACCCTTCCACACACACACACACGAAGACTCTCTTGAGAGCCGGAAATAAACAACACGAGACGCAACAGTAGAGGGAGGAGGAAAAGATAGGGACGTCTCACGGCAACATAAAAATCCCAGCCGTGTTTTGAATGCCACTCCCTCAGTTTGGTGGGCTTGTACTCAATGAGCCGCCGCCCTTCACCCCACCCATTTTCTCCCTCTGGTAAACCAAAAAGAAGGCAAAGTATATCTACACATCAATTCTGTCATCCCAAAAGAAAAATAATAACAATAAAAAGAGTGAGATAGACAAAAGAAAACAATAAAAGATAAAAAAGGGCGCAGCAGCTTATACCCCTCCCTCCCTCCCTCTCTATGTATATTTATAGATTTTTATTCATTCCCCCCTCTTCGTCTTTTTTGTTGCTGTTGTTGTTTCTCCTTCTTAACCTCGTGTTTTCCTGTTCTTTTCCACTAGCAGTTAGGGCATGCCCAAATGCTTGTAAGTAGGAGGTTCACTTTTCTTCTCTATTCACGAATGCCCTCAGCTTTGCTTTTCATTTTGTCTGGATTTGTTCTTGTTGCTGTTTCAATATTACTTTTTTTTTTCGGTGTGTGTGTTTGTCTGCTTGCTTGTCCTGAATCTACTTCCCTTCATTTGCCCTTTTGAATCCATGCATGGGCTTTATATATATGTTTGTTGTTGTTGTTTTTATATGCGGTGTGAACACCATTATTTCTCCTCTCCCCCCTCTCTCTAGATATATATATATATATATATTGTGTGTGCGCCCCTCCTCTTCCATATTTCTGGTTCACTTTGCCCTTCCATTTTTTCTCCCTGAAAGAACGCAACACTTCCCACACGTCTTCCTGCGTTTACTTTTTTTCCTTTCTTTTGTTTTTCATCCCCGTCCTCGTCCGTCAGGCGCTTCTTATGGAGCCCTTTCGCCTTGGTGGGTCCTTGTCCTTCGACGGCGAGGGAGCCAGCTGCGGCTGGTGATTGCCGACCACCCTCGTCGATGTCTGCAGCATCGCTTCTGCCGGCCTCCTCTCCTTCGGCAGCTCCAACGGCTCCGCTGGCGGCTCCGACCGCTCCGTGCGGGCGACGGAAATATGTGGGAATTCCGCCGGCCCACCGCTGGCACCGCTGCTCGGACTGTGGGCAGCCGCCATGCCGCCTCCACCTGCAGCACCACTAGCGGCAATACCGTTCTGCCTCAACTCGAATGAAATGGCCTCTGCGCTTTTTGACCGCTCAATAGACTCCTTACGATGCGAGACACCTACAGAAGCAGCCATATGAGAATAGGGAATATTTTCGCTGAATCGGTAAGCATCATTGTGGGAACTGCTACGGTAACTTGAACCATTTTTCTTGTAGCCGTCGTTGAAACGATTGAGTGTTCCTCTTCCATGGCTGCTTCCACCCGCGGCTCGCGATACGTGTGTTCGATCTACGGAGTCAAATGTTTTGTTACAGCACATGCCTTCCAACCTGCTTTCCAGTGCAGCAACACGGAACTCAAGCGCTCGCTGAATCTGCTTCTGCTCGAAAAGCTCCCGTCTCAATTGCTCCACAGTCTGCCTCATGGCATCCCCTGACTGGTATTCTAACTGGGAAAGGGTATTCTCTCGTGACGGAATCGTCACAGGATCATTTATCCCACTTGCCGTTCGGCGGTAGTGTTGGAGTTCCTCTTTTGCTGCAACGCTCATGCCCTGTGTGGATTGGTACAAAATTTCCTGATGGGCCCTGGTGGAATGTGGGGTGTGCACGCTGGAGTCCTTGTAAGAGTGAGAACGCTCAACTGCACGACGGTGGGATGGACTTCCTGTGCGTGAAGACATTGCACCACGTGAAGACATCGCACCACGTGAAGAAGCGCGTGATTGACGCCGTGACTGTGCCCGAGAAAAGCGTCGAAGACTTTTAGTTGCAATGTACGCGTCACGATCGTCAGGACCAACATATATGGGATGCTGGCCATGATCTTCCCTCTCATCGTTACCCTCATCAATACGCTTTGCAATGGATTGGCATGCATCGGTGACAATCGCCGCAATTGTACCGTTCGTTCTCTGAATACTGTCAATAATTTTCCATGCGTCCTCCACGTGCAATTTCCATCCGTAGATATCCAATAACAAAAGGCTGCGATTAGCGCAGAGTGCCGAAAGCACAAGAGCGGCGGAGTGCGGCGTTGGATTCATGAAGCCAAGAAAAAGCTGAATTAGTGAAGTATTGGTCTTGATAACTTCCGCATACATCTCAATGGTCTCGCTGTCAAAAAGGTTGTGACGCAGGTTAAGGCGTTGCATGTTGCATGAATTTGTCATGAGAGCCCGTGCCAGTTCTTTGCCACCGCTAGGGCCGATGCGGTTGGCGGTGAGGTCAAGGGTGGATAGACTAACCGTCACAGGAATGCACTGGGCCAGCTGTGCGGCCCCGGCGTCCCGGATGGCATTGTAGCCGAGGTGCAGGTGCCGCAGTTTACCCGCATGACGGATGGCCTGTCCCAAGTACGTTGCGGCATCCGCCTCGATCTTGTTGTTGTGGAAGGAGAGCTCCACCACATCGCAGGAGCCATCTCCAATTGCCGCCGCGATGGGAATGACACCCAACTTGGTGATGTCGTTCTCCGAGAGATCCAGCACTTTCAGTCCACAGCCGTCACGAGACAACGCATGACCAATCACCACCGCTGCCTGGTCCTTCAGTTTGTTCCTGCCAAGCCGCAGCTCGCGGAGGATGCCGGGGTTCTTCTCAACAGCCTCCAATAGTGCCTGCAGGCCAGCCATGCCAAAGGCGTTCCCCTCCAGATTCAACACGCGTATCGAGTGCGCGGTGGAGCATAGGGCCTCGGCAATGCAGCTCAGGTCTACGTCGTTTAATTGCACCGATCGGTCAGACAAATTCGCCTCCCGTTCATTGTTTTCAAAGGCCTGCACCAACTCCAGTGCGCACTCCGCGTGCTCACGATTACATGCCTCCACATAAACTGCCGCTGCATCCGATTGAACTCGATTCATTTCGGTATTCTCCTCCCTTTCTTTCAGCCTGTCTGTTTTTTTGTTGTGGTTGTTGTTTTGTGTGTGTATGTGTGTGTCCAGATGTTATAACTTCTACCACGTTTTCTGCTCGAATGCACGCGCTGAGAGAAGGAACGAAAAAGACAACAAAAGAAAGGAAAAAAAAAACTCCAGAAACAAATGTTTTTAGGGTCCTCACAGTTCGAGGACGCAGAGGTATATAAAAAAAAAAAAAAATAGAGGAATAAAGGGTGCAAGCCAAACAAAAAAAAAGGGGCAAACTTCCTCCTCCCCCTCTCGCCCGTCAAAAAGAAAGAAAAAAGTGGGGAAAAAATACACATCATTTCAGGGAAGGTGCAAGCACAGAAGTACAAACACAAATGCGCACACACACACACAGAGAGAGAGAGAGAAACACCACCACTAGACAGGGGACCTTTCCTCCTGTAGAAGAGAAAGAAAACCATATATAAAAATAAATATATAGATTTATATATTTATTGCAGACGCCATCTTGCCTCGTTCCAACACCACCGCACTCACTCATCCCTCGCCCGTAGTACCGCAAAAAGAAACAAACAAAGAAGAAAAAAAACTTTTCATTATTACCATTTTATTCTTTTCCATCTCCTTTGCTGATCTCCTGTCCAACAGATGACGGGTAGTGTGCATTGGCACCTTCCACACATGCGTAATGGGTTAACCAATTAGACGGAGGGTAAGAGATGGGGAGAAGATAAAAAACTGAGGAAGAGAGAGAAAAAGAACGGGATTGAGTTTCTCTCGTTTGGATTTTAATTGAAATCGCCATGGGCAGACACAACAGCAGCAAATTGACGAAACGCGTTTGGGGAAAATGCTTCAGGCGACGTACACGCATAATCTCCTCTATTGTTAATGTGCAGTCGTGATCACTGTGGATATTGATCTTAAGCTCAATTTTTTTTTGCGTGGGTGATTGTGTCCAAGGTGTGGAAACAAAATTTTTCCTCCTTATTCAGTGTCGGAGAGGTGAGACTGGCGCTAGGCGTTGCTCTGCCCCCATGCCGCAGGAAGCCGCTCATGTCGGCACCACTCGGCGTCGTGGGTTAGAAGCACTTATTGCCCTTTCTGCTGAAGCAAACATCTGTCGCAGTCTTTCGCCACGTGTTTGATTGCGGTTACGTTGAGGCTCCACATGCTGCGAAATAACATCCTCCGGCGGTTTTATCAGACGCTCCACCATTGCGCGGAGAAAAGAAGGAATGGGAAGGTCGTTGAAGTCCACATCCAACAATAAACGCATCCCACCGATAACAACAAGCGCTGTGCAAAATAAAAAAAAGTTAACAATGGCCTTCAAGGTAAGTATGAAGTCGCGTGTGTAAGACACAGGGGAGCCGTCCCGAGATACCTTGGAGGATGTAGATAATGACGTGGGCGATCCACCGCTGCTGTTTATCACAAATGACATGGTACGAAAAATATGGCTATTGTTGTCGTTATAGCTGTCATTTGAAACGACATCAAGATCCGTTGAGAGTCCTCCTCCCCCTCCTCCTAATTCTGTACATTTTTCTCCCTCCCCGCTGGCGTCACTGGCTCTGGTACTAATATTGGCATTACCTTTTCGGCCTCTTTTATTCCCAATCCCAGAAATGTATTTGGGTGCACCACCATTCACTTCGCCCTTGAGGCCCGTGTGGCCAAGCACCTCGTCACCACTCAACTTCCTGGAAGAGAGAGGGCAGGATCGTGAGCGGCGCGACAAACCGCACAAATCATCATCCTCTAATGCCTTTGCCAGTGAAGACTGCACAAGAAACTCCTCTGATGCGTGGCCACAGCAATGATTGTTGGGAACTATGTCGCCTAAAGAAATGGCTGTGCGGGAAGAAGCCTTTGCCACGGGAGGATCAACCCCCACCACCCATGTGTGCCGGAGTAGCCTTTCCACCGACCAGCGCTTTGCGGGTACAGGCTGCAGCATCACGGAAAAAAGATGCTCGAGGCTAGGCGACACTGGACGTGGAAACGTGTACTTTCCCGCCATCACCGCCTGGACCAGCGTGTCGGGACACTTCTCATCCCCCTGGAAAGGATACGTATTGAAAAGCATTACATATAGCGTTACACCTGCAGCCCATACATCGACCTCGCGGGCATCGTACCTGGGGTCGCATTGCAGCAACTCAGGAGCGCAATACTTCAGTGTTCCGCAGGCCCTGTGAAGCAGACGCCCAGGAGGTGCATAGCACGCAAACCCAAAATCTGATATTATCAACTGTGTGTGTTCCTCGTTCAACAGCAAATTTTCCGGCTTAATGTCGCAGTGAACGATGTTGGAGCCGTGAAGGGCGCTGAGTCCCTTGAGAAGTTGCCTAAAGATCCGACGACACCACTGCGTCGACAACATGAGGGGGGAACTACGAATCAAATCGCTCAACGTGCCACCCTCCACCAGATCCATGATGAGGTAATAGTTTCGCGTGGATACAAGTTTGTCCACGAGATTCACCAAATACTTTGAGCGGGGCATCACTTCCATCGCGTTGATCTCGCACACAACGGCACATTGCATTTTATTTGCCTCCACCAGTGCCCGACTCACCACCTTCACGGCATATGCTTTCCCTGTGGTCAAGTCAACGCACCGGTACACCGTGCTAAACGCACCCTTCGCAATAGGGCAGCCAATCCTGTACCTGCGATCGCCAAGAATTTTCCCCATCGACATCTTTAACTAAAACACAAAAGATGTCTGCCCTAAAGATATTTCCCGTTCTTTGGTTTTGCGTAGCCAAAGAGAAGAACAAGGTGCTCCGTATGATTATTCCCCCCTCTTTACTTGGTTTTGCCGCCAACAACTTTGCAATGTACGTAATTTGAGGCAGTAATTAAGAACGCAATCGGAGGTATCTTCCGTCCGGATGTTTTTTCCTCCCCACCCCCACCCCACTCCCTTTGCAGCGGTGTTGGTGCTCTGCTCCTGGATGTCCGCTTCGATTCCAAGAAGTAGAACGAAGCAAAGTAATACGAACAGTGATAGCGGTAGAGTGGAGAACTCTTCCTGTGTGTGTGGCTTGGTTACCACTGTCGTTGGTACATAAAGCAGACAAAAGGTAAAGACACAAAAAAAAAAAAAGGGAGAGAAAAGAGAAAAAAAAAAAGTGATTACGAGTGGTATGCCCACAGGAATCGCAAATCATGAAGACAGTGAAGGAGTGTGAAGTAAAATAGCAGGGCTCAGCGAATGCGGACAGGGAAAAAAAAGGACTCATGGAAATAAGGCTTAGATTAGTGTGCATATAAATTTATATATATATATATATATATATATATATATTGGTGTCGCCTTCGATCAGTCTCCTCGGGACTGCTCCGCCATAGATATCCTCTGCATCAGTCTTTCTCGCCACTCGCGCAGAAAGTTACCATCGCCCTTAAAAAGGTCCGGGCGAAAGAATTCCAACGGAAGCCCACGCTTCGCCATGTACTCCTTGGTTGACGCGAGATCGCCACGCTCCGACGCAACTACAAAAAATCGCCGTTCCTTTTGCGTCCGTGTGGTGTCAGAGCGTTCTCCGACACCTGCCGTGCTGCCGCGTCGACGCCACACCTCCACGTGACGGTTCCAATTAGCGGCGTCACGAAACAGACGAAAAAAGCTAACGGAATCACTCAGCAGATCATCATCATCATCTTCACTCTCACCACTCCAACCATCAGCTTTACTATTGTTATTATTATTATTATTGGCAATATTAGTAGTAGTAGTAGTGGTATTACCATCATTGCCACGCCCTAATTTCGCGTCGTCATCCAGAATGAATGGAAAAGCACACGCCGGATCCTCGACATCATCATGGTGGAAGCATCGCACCGCGGCGCTTAACAAATACACAGGCAGCGATGGGCTTTCAAACAGCACATCCACTGCCAGTAGTACAACGGACGACTTCTTTTTAGGTGCGGGATCAGCAACAGATGGCTTGTTAGCCTGTCGAAAAAGCGCCGTCCGCAGCAACGCATCGTTCTCAAGGGCCCTTTCCAACAATTTGGCATGTTCAATATGACGCATCACGATGGCGTAGTTTTCGTCATGCGTCGCCTCGTCCCATGCCATCAACGAGGGAAAACACACATCCGTTGCCCGCTGACTGATTCCAGCGTACATGTGACCCGCCCATGCCTCAACACAGCCATCTCCAGCAGAGGTATGCAGACGATATGGAAGAAAAGCCCGAAACTCTCTTGCGTTATTTCCACTCAACGCCTTTGCCAACGTCACCTCCACCTTCACTGGTCCTTCCGCCCCTGCCAATGCAACGCCTTGGAGTTGATGGTGCAAATCCCGCAGAAATTTGGACGAATTACGCATGGCGATGAATACATCCCGGGATGAAAGCAGCGTTGGTGTCCGAGAAAACACCGCCCAACCGCAATCGTCAGCAACAACACGTCGCCCGCAAAGCACCACCCCGTCTCCGTTCCCACCAATCTCGTTCAATGTCTCTGATACCCACTGAACGACATCGTCAAACCGAGGCGCGGGGTCAGTGTTGTCGGAGTCAACAGCCTTCTCCCTTCGCCAGTCATCCTCCCCTACGTACGTCTCGTACTCGTCCACCGGCCGCGCCTCCACCGTCAAAGTGGGATGTTGTGGGAGACGCGTGTCATCTGAATTCAGGTATTGAATAAATGGGTGTGTGGCGTCCAGAAACAGCGTGCGGTGTGGAATTGCGTGGCGCTGAGCAAGAGGCGTGTCAAGTACGTATGAGAGCGGAACACGGAGGTCCATTGGCACTGGCAGCCTGGCACACGCGCCGCACGGCTGGATCGCACATACCGGCAGGAAGTGCAAAAGTAATAATAAAAAAAATAGAAAAAAAAAATTTTTCTACAGTACCTCAAAAACCCCCAACAGCAACACATGAGATTCATCAAAAAGAGAAATAAAGGAAAATAAAATTTGAAAAAAAAAAAGAATTCAAAAATGCCGCATCAAGAAATCTTCATAGAGTGCAATTTTATCGGTCATCTCCTTCAAGAGCGTGTCATCCTCGGTGTAAACGCCCGATTCCAGCAGCCTCTTTTTATTCATCCTCAGTTTCTTGACAAACTCCACCATTTCTTCCCGAGTGGACTCCCGTGAGGCAGACGGAGGAGCTGCCCTCGATGCCTGGAGGAAATCTTCCGGCGACGGAGGTGTAGGCCGCGGCGGTGCATCCGCGGCAGATGGGAATGTAGGTAAATGACTCTCCATCACATCCTTGCCTACTGCCTCCTCCCTCGGCAGGACACGTCGGTCCTCTCTTTCTGCGATCCACGACTCCACGTCGGCGTAACAGTACGACGAGGAGACATCGACATCTGCCTCTTCTTCTTCCTCCTTTACAGCTGGGGGTTTCTCCGCAAGAGGGCTGTAGTACGGTTCCGTCAACTCGCGTCTTCCCTCGCTCTCGCGTTGTGTCAGTGAAGAAAGCGTTGAGTTGGCCACGTCCTCACAAGCTGTGGTTGTTTGCGTAAAATCACGCGGCTGGTGCCGCTTCTGTTCCACAACTTCTTCGCTAGAGACAGCTCTCCAACCGCCTCTTACGTGCAACGAATTCTCATCCTGGTGACGCGGTGGCACCTCCGCGTACACCAAACGTGGTTCAGATGAATCGGCGATCCTCACTTTCACTTTCTTGCCCTTTTTTTTCTCCTTGACCCGTAATTCGCGTAAACCCTGTGCCACCTCAGCCATTAGCTCCCTGAGAAACGTACTGGAGTCATCACCAGCATTGCCGCGTTTGAGCACTCTGTCTCTGACCTCCCTGGAAACAATGCCTTCGGCAAACTGATGTCCAAGCACGTCGTGGCGATATACGCCTTTTGTTTCACTACCAGCCTGAAGTGTGACAAGTTGATGGCGTCGCTTGTCTTCCTCCAACCTACGCTTTTCCTCATCCAGCAGCATCCGCTCGCGTTGCTGCCACTGTTTCTGCAGCTCACTGTAACGCCGGGCAAGTTGACCCAGTTGATCCCTAGATAGCTTTGATGCCTCTTGAAACTGATCGCGTTCCTTCCGTGCCACCACCAGCTCCGATTCTCGTTCCTTTAACTTCAGCTGCAACGTCGTCACTGCTGCATTTGCTGAAGCCAACTCCTCCTCCAACCGCGTTATACGCGCTTTATCTTCATCCTCAGCAACATGGCGAGCCATGCATCTCTGCAGTGCATCGTGCTCGCTTTCCGCCGCACGGAGTTTCTCCTCGAGGCGAGTAATGGTGTCTTCTCGCTCCCGCAATTGTGCCTGGAGAACACCTTGACGCACTACCGCCTCCTCCAACTGTCGTCGTGTGCGCCCCTCCACCGACAGCAGGTGCTGCTCGTGCTGTTCCGCAACTTTCACACGACGCGCCTCAAACACTGCCTCACGAGCTTCGAACTGTGAGATGCGTTTCTGTAGCGTCTCCTCCCGAATTTGAAGCCGTCTTGCCACCTGCTCCAAATCCTGCCGAACTGTATCTAAATCTCCCAGACGCTGTTCTTCTTTCTTTCGTACCTCTGCCGCCACCTCCTTCTTTAGTCGCTTTTTTTCTTCATTCAGCTCACTTCGCAGTCGTGCCTGCTGCTGCGCCTTCCACAACTCCAAATCAAATGCGGCCGCGTATTCTTCCGTGCCTCGAAAGGCAGCCGTAACAGAGCCAAAATCAGCATCTGGTTCCATCGTTAAAAGTTCTCTATCTATTCTATTATCACCTGGTAGTGTTTTAGTTTTTGATTCGTTGATGGAGAGTAATCAAATATATATATATATGCGGTCAATGCATATAAGTCTGGGGGAAAAAAAAAAGGAAACACACACAAAAAAAAAAATGTTCTTTTTTTTTCTTCTTTGATTCTTCCTTGCGCCGTTGTACCTCTTTTTTCACTGATGGTTCTTCTCTTTGCGAAAACAGCAACCCTGTGACAACTGGGAGGGAATTGTAACCCATTGCGCTACCCCGAACTCAGTTTGATCCACAGATGGAAGAGAGCAACGAGTGGCCCACCCGGTTTCTCTTCCTTTGCTTCATGACGTCTCGTACATCTAATTATGCCCACGCACGCACTTGTGTGAAACGGCCGTGCGTACGGACTACTCAAATAACAGAGACCCAGCCCCACTTCTCCCCAGCCCCGCAATCCCAAGCTGCCCGTTACCCATCCCCTTTCTCTCTCTCTCTCTGTCTCTCTGGCAATCTACACAGACACGTACACAACAGATAGCTGGCTTCCTCTACCTTCTCTCTTAGAAGTATCCAATTGTCCAGTTATAACTGAACAAGGGGCCACCAAATTTCGCATATGGATGCATGAGAACATCGTGCAAAGGCGGGCGCCATACATCGTCGTGGTAAAAAAATTTTCTGAACTCTGAAGTCAAACCTACAAACCCCTTGTCGATAAGATTTTCTTGTTCGTAGCGGTGACGCTTGTAACTGGTTATAAGGCATCGCAGATTAACTTCCGCCTTTTGGTAAGGCAGATGAGCAGCTTGCCGTTCCGACCATTCAATCATCATCTCCATGTTATACCGCTCCTTTTCAGGACGAAACCACGCTCCAAACAGAGAAAATCCTGCGATCATAGCCATCACAGTCCGGCCCGTAAACCACCGCTTGCCGTACACAGGATACACACGCACGGCTGGATAGCCACCGGGTATCACACGTTCCTGACGGTATGCCTGCCCGCTGAACCATGAATAAAAGGCTTTGGTATCCGTTGGCACGGGGTCACGCACAAGACGAGGAATACTTCGCTGAAGCATTTTAGAAAAAACGCCCTTGTGTGTTTTTGTTTTGTTTTGTTTTTTTGAAGTGTGGGGTTCTTTCTAAAAGAATACCAACTATGAAAGATAGGCGGTAATACTACCACCACTAATACTACTAATACTACTACCAATACTACCACCAATGGAGAATATCCTATTCTTCTTACTGCTGTTTACTTTTTCTCCGCCTCCCCTAGTGTCAAAACCACAACAAAAATTTAAAACAAAATAAAATAAATAAATAATGTTATCGCATCCAGAGCCCTTTTTCCTGCTTTTCGGGGTCCTGTCGTCCCTTGCCTCTCGGGATTTCAAAAAAAAAATATTTTTATGTAAGGCAACAGACACACAGAAGAGGAAAAAAAGGACTCATGCTTCTCCCCGTCTTAGGATGAGTGCAGCGGCATCACTAGCAAAGCAATTAAAAAAAAAAAAGAAAGAAAAAACCAAGAGGGGCGAAGAGGTGGCGATAACCGCTTCTGTGCCGCAAAGACAAGAGTGTCCACATCTACATGCCAAATGTATGAAGTGCTGCGGTAAAGACGCTCATGTCATCACAGCGCTCCCACTCCACACCCTCTTCCTTCTTTTACCCTTTACTGCTGCGCACATCCATCACTAGCATTGCCATCCGCACCATCTATGCGTCTCGCTGGTAACGCTGCTCGTTCTTTTTTGGCTGCAGCATCTGCTGCTAAAACCGCAAGGTGCTTTTTGTAACGAATAATCAATGTGTTGTGTTGTACATCGTATAAAAGATGACCTGGGTCAAGTTGAATGTGGTGCCGCTGAAGTTCAGGGATGCTCAATCTCTTAAAGTACTTCTTGTTGCTGGTACGCACGACTATCTCGCCAACATCTCCAGGCTCGCGATGCTCCACCGTTACACTAAACACATCCTTTGCGTAGGGTAGGTTGCGGATACGGAATACATGATATTCGGGGGTGTCTTGTTTCACAATCTCCGGGCTGCCATTTGCCTCAATCAGCAATTCCTTCTCCAAATTACGCGTTTTTACTTCACTCCCCACCTCCACTTGCCAGTCACCAAAGTTCCCGAGGGTATTCTTTACCCGGCGCTTTCTAAGCAGAAGTTCATCAGTAATGACGTCATACTCCTCAACCATCTCGCTTCCATCAACAAATTTGGAGGTGATGCGCTTTCTTCCATTCACAATTACCGAACTTTTGGGTTCTGCAAGCCTTTCAGCCATGTTCTCTCACAGTGCCTTCGCTTTCTTCCTATTGGGTTATTTTTCCACTGCATTGGAATTAACAATTATAATCACATTAGTAATGACATTTGAAATTATTCATTAAAAAAAAAAAGGAAAAGAACGCATGTCTCTACGAGACTGATCTTGCAACCGTTCACACACCATCACGCAAACATACGAAAAAAACAGACACCGCACAAAAGACACTCAACACTGTCAATTCACATTGTGCATTTATATTTATAATCAATTATTATTACGCGAATCGGTGGAGATCTTCTTCCGCCAATAATGCGAGACAGTGATGCATCCCACCTCCGTCCTAGCCCATACACAAACAACGTATTAAAACCACACACATGTCTGAATACCAAAAGACAAATGGTGACATCACTTACGTCACTGGAGAAGAGGTGAACCACACACAGACGACAATAAGAAAAACAAATAACAGAAAATGCATATTCACTGGGACTCACCTACTATTCTTGTTTAGCTCCCTCGCACCTCATCCTATGCATGCAATCTTCGAAGCTTTGCAGCGTCTCATCGCATATAGAAGCCAGACGCTCAAGCCCTTCTGCGACTGCCTCTACAGCGTAATCAGTAGACTGAACATGCAAGAGCATTTTCGCTTCCAGTGGGTGGGGAATGGCGTATCCGGCGCTTGTCACTTCGCGGTTTTGCATGAGAACATGCCGTAATGGGTTTCCCAAAGTGTGATCCTCATGAGAGAAGGCGATCGTCACCGTTGACTCTGAGTCTGTGAGCCGCTGCAGCTCTATCTGTACCTTCTGCTCTGCAGAAGTATCCACCTCGTCACCCTCATTGTATCTCTGTATTTGCTCCTGGTGCAAAATAAAGGCGTCCCTGGGGTGAAAGGCCATTTTACTAAGAGAAAGCACACAAAACAACGACGGCTAAACCATGTACACTCACGCAGATATAAATAAGAAATCAGAAACAAAAAAAAAAAAGAAGTAGAACAAAGCCTGGAAAAAAAAAAAAGACAGAAAAGAACCAAAAATAAAAATAAAAATCACAGAGAAAAGAGAAACAAGATGGAAGGAAAAGCATCAAGATAGAAATGACCTCTTCCTTCCTTTTCCTTTCTTTTTGCTTAATATTTTATTTTTTTGCTAGCGCTTCCCATTTTTAAATCAGCAGACAACCTTGCTTCCCGGGTTCCCATGCACATAAAGATTTTTCTGAGGTTTTCATTTTCATTTGAACTATTTGTAAAAAAAGAAAAAGAAAGGAAAAGAAATCCGAACGTTCAAGACATGCTTTTGTGTGTGTGTGTGTGTGTAAACTTTACACACTTCTTGATTGCATGCGGATCCGGGCAACCTTACCAGAGGCGGCGCGGAACAAACGGTCTTCCACCGCTGCTAAGAGATCCGTGTCCACTGAGGCATGCGGCCACCCCGACACGAGTGGAAAAAGCACCACCTCCGCTCCAGGAATAGTTTCGGTCCATCGCAACGCATCAAATACGGCAAAACACGCCTCTCGCACTTGGGCATTCACGCTCAGGTCACGATATGCCAGACAACCCGGTTTAAGGCACTGGAGCTTACCCCCAAAGTCAATGATTACCGTGTGCCTTAACAATACCTCCGTCGGCGCAGCTACGGAAGAATTTGAAGAAAACTCCACCAACGCCCCCTCTGGATCCATTGGCAGATTGGTGGTGAAGCTACTGGGTGTTAACAGCCTTGACGGAACATTCGGTGAGTAATGCGTGAGCAGCTGACCGGGTCCATCCATCGCCATTTCAGGACTGAGGTGACGCAAACGAGTATCCCGAATCGTGATGAGAGGATGAAATTTATCTCCGAGAGCACGTAGCACTTCCGTGAGTGTAACTCCTCCTCGACGAAGAATTTCAACGCTCTCTACATTATTTACTTTCACCACGGTAGATTCAATACCAATGTCACATGGTCCACCATCGACAATCAATAAGGAGGAATCTTTCGGCCCCAAATCCTTGAGGACGTGATCGGCCGTGGTAGGGCTAACATGACCAAATGTATTCGCACTGGGAGCCGCCACAGGGAAATTCACGAGCTGCAACAGCCTTAAAGTTATTTCATGGCGTGGAATTCTCGCACCCACGAAACCCGATCCCCCAGTTACCGAATTCGGCAACAATGGGTTCGCCCTCAACACAATGGTTAAAGGTCCAGGCCAAATTGCCGTTCCCAAAACCCTGGCCAATTCCACAGCCTCCGGATCGGCATGCACATCCCACAGATCCATTGCCTTCTCAACATCCGACACGTGGCAAATCAGGGGATCGGTCAATGGACGGCCCTTCACTATAAAAATCTTTTCCACTGCCTCCTTATTAAGTGCGTTACCGCCCAAACCATACACAGTTTCCGTTGGAATGGCTACCAAATTTCCACGAGCCAATGCATCAGCAGCCTTTTCCAGCTCCGATGCACTGATAATCCTCGCCATGTCACGACCGGCAAATTCCCCCTCCTCCCAACCATTACAGTGGTTTAAAAAAATAGTCGAAAAAAAGAAAACACAGATAGGAGCAAAAACAAGTGGGAATACACATTTTTTTTTTTCTCTTCGCTTTATCCCATTTAACTTATGACCGTTGCTTCATCTGTTACGCCATTTTTCCTCGGAAATAAATAAATATACGGAGTTCGTTTGTTTGTTTGTTTTTCCCCCGTTTCTTCTTGTTCTTCCTTTTCCTCTCCTTGTTACTGAGTTAGCGTCCCTACCATTGCCCAATGTCATGAGGCGGAACAGCAAATATGAACACAAAGTGAGCATCAGTTTAGCTAACAGAGCGATTCCCAAACTCACACAAAGGCACATAAATGCGCTCCACTATTACCGTAAATATGTAACAAAAACCCATGGACACACACACACACACGCACACGTGCAAATAAAAATAAAAAACGACTTCAGAAAAAAAAAGAAAAAAACATAAACCTTTTCTCCACTATTTCTCACTCAATTACTTATTACCAGCTGCTACTCTGATAGGGCGCAGGGCTATCTTGCTTCTGACGTTTGAAACCTCGTCCAGATCGTCCACTCCACGAACGCCTCAAATGACGTTGCTCTTCATATTGAACGTATTTCCCAGCAATATCTAAGAGTTTTTGCGGAACCTCCATCCCACATTTTTTCAAGTAACCCACAAGATCTTTTGCCAAGCAGCCGTCAGAGTGACCAATAAATGTGAATGAATCTCCTGTGCGGCCAGCTCTTCCTGTACGCCCTATTCGATGGCAATACCTATCAATGCTTTTTGGCGCAATAAAGTTGACAACACATGTCACGTCAGGAAAATCGATACCGCGCGATGCAACATCAGTCGCCACAAGTATACGGGTTTGACTATGTTTAAATCCGTTCATGATGTAATCCCGTTGCCGTTGCTGCATCCCACCGTGAATCATGCCAATGTTTCTGATGTGTATACCCAACATTTTCGCAAGCAGATAAGCCGCATTTTCCGTATCAGTTTGACGTTCTACAAAAATCAT